GGAACTTTTGTCTTTACTAAGAATCTCTATCAAAGGTTACAAGGACATATAATTTATTAAACTGAATCTGAATGATCACTTTGAAATTAAAATTTTATCAACAATAATTTCTATCCTGCATTTATTTCGTGATAACAGATAGTAGATTAACTGCATGGAACATTTTATTTCTACTGCAATGCATTGTTTTCTAACTTAAGACTGATGATTATTCAGATTGCTGGTCATTGATTATTTGTAGTAATTAGTATAGATCTGGAGGTTTTTAGTTTCTGAAAAACTCACTTTGTTAATTCTGTGAGCATGTTATCATTTTCAGGATGCAATATTGTTGAATAAAAGTAGCTTGGAACATTCAAAGAAGGAAAACAAAATACATGCTAAAAATTCAAATGAAATACAGCAAGAATTGCGAAAACGGCCTCCTAAAGCGATAGTACCAATAAGTAATGAGAAGTTTTTCACTCTAACATCTAGAGCCGAAAATTGGCAGTCAAAAATGATTTTATCAGATAGTAATTTGATGCCATCAGAGAAAGCATTGAAAGTTGTTGATAAACCATTTTCAGCAATGGTACCGCCTGTAAACAAAAACATTTCAGCCGAAACAAAGCAAACAGTAGACGATACATCATTTGAAAGTAGTGAAATCTGGACTGCAATGAGGGACTGTGTTGGAAAACGAGTAACAGAAATGACAAAAGTAGAAAAAATGTTGTGCACTGAGCCATTACAAGTTGCTGACATTGCAGTGATGCAGTCAGGGAAAAATGAAAAAGTAAGTCTGATTGACGACCAGAATCTAGTAGTCAAGGAGAATAATGATAGTATTGCAAGTCAATATCATTCAGACGAGAATATTAATAAACTGTGTACGAATCTGTCTTACACTTCAATCTCCGATGATACGTTATTACGTTTAGGCTGCAGCCTAGATTATGTTTATAATGAACAGACCGGTGAAGTAGTCGATAATAGCGAGGTGATCGGTAGTGCTAATATTATTCCAGAAAATGACCAGAATTTTGAAATAAATGGATGGGAAAAGATTCGAGACGAATTAGAGCAAGAAAAGGAAGAACTGTTGAAGTGTGATGAAAGTTTAGCCAAGCACGTGATTACATCGACTTGCAGTAATGATGAAGTGGGAGTTTCTGAAATACGAAGTAGTACTATCAAAACAGAAGAGAATTACACAGATTCCAAGGCAATAAAATCTCCAAATATAAGATGTATTGTTCAACAGACAAAAATTCTAGAAAGTATTGAAGAGGAAGAAGGGAATACTACAACAACTTTCAATAAAAGCAAAGATTTATTCGATAGTACATTGAGTGGCTCACAATTATTTTCTGACAAATCGCAAAGTTCAGTTTGTCTGCAGAACACTCTCGAAGAGTATCCTTGTTCATCTTCAGAATCACCAGGGTTCCGAAGTCCACTTCACAAAATTCTGAAACCTGGATCACCTTTGATAACGGTGAATAATGAGATTGTGTTGGATAAAAATATTAACAAGAAATCGACTGGTGATGAGAAGGAAAATGGCGAATTTGAAATTATCAATGTTTGTGAGTGAGTTTTGTTTTTCATTCTCTCATTATAGGTCCTTAAATAAATAACTGAAATTTTGCCCATTCTTATTTCTCTAAAACTATTTCATACAAATTATATTAGGTCAGAAGCACTGTGGAAACAATTTGAAGTACAAAGAAAGAGCTGGAATCAGATCGGTTTAGCTATTGCTGTCGATAGCAAAGATGTTGTTGGCGTAGCTCTGTGTGCATTGTTCAACAAATGCTTTTATATTGACCTCACACAAAGTAAATTCATTTGATTTCATTAACTGAAAAGAAAAATGTAGGTTACATATGCACAGTTTTAAACGCTGGAACTATTGTTCGAAAACTAGTGACTTCAAATCACTTGTGTGGTTGGTTTACTAACAGAATCTTGGGCATTATATCATTTTTGAATAATTAATTTATGTCAGATTTGTCGTAGTTTAGTTAGAGTAAATATATCATAAATGGAAAGGAGCTGCGTTCATATGAAATACCAGTTAATCAGCTTTTTATCTTCATTTTAATAACCATATATGTACTTGCAGATTTTGAAAGTGCGATTGGAATAGGCAGACGACTCGAAGCACTATACGTGATCCTGAAATCGAATCAACAGAAATGCTTGTATGATTTTCAATCATTTGCTCGTGTTTTAAGATATCTTTCACTTGCAGAAAGCCAGAATTTGCAATTCAATCATTGTATTTGCATACAAACATTGTCATATATGGCTCACTATCGCATGGACAATGATGAATACCCTTTGTCATTTCAGGTTCCTTCTGAAAATTTGCATTTTTTACTATTTCCTTGATAACTATCAAATGATCAATCTCCTTGCAGTAGAGCTGATAACTTGTAGTATTTTTTGGCACTTTTCTTTTTACGTAATCCTTTAAGGAAATAATAAAATGAAAGTATTGAAAGAAATTAAGAAAGTTTTTCTGCATTGCTTGCTTTTATGGCGCACAAAAGCATAAAAAATTTTCATTTTAAAATGAGTAAATAAGTAATACTTTTAGCCAATCTTTTTTTGATAATACATACTAAGCTTGTAGTTACTGCAGTATCTAATATGGATAAATTTTTTTTTGCCCATGTTAAAGAATTTTAAAAATTTCTTTCCATTCAAGCTTTTTTGCTTCATTTAGGATTTAGTTATGCAGCTTAGCTCTCCCGAACGTGCAGTCATTCTGCAAAGTTCAACACCCCGTATAAATGCAGTGGTTAGTGCATTCGTATGCTTGCACATGTATGATGATTTAATGTCAGCAGCAGTTCGATTATCATCGATTGAATCAGTAGAGCTAGAACTGCAGTCAGCCATGTTATTCGCTGAAATGGAATCTGTGGGTTTGCTGTTTGACAAGCATAAAGCTGAAAATATGAAAACGGAGGTTCTTTTTTTTATAAAATAAAAAACTGTCAAAATTTTTTGATTTTGTTTGTTACATTTAGTTTATATTATTACGACACCATAAAAATTTTATGAATTTTGAATTTGCTTTGAATTCTTATGCAGATTAAGCAAAAATTAACTGAAATCGAAACAAAGGCTTATCATATTGCTGGAATTCCATTCAATTTTAACTCGGCAGCTGAAATTTCAAAGGTCTGTTTTGACTCATAAAGCAAAAAATTTGAAATATTGATTTCATTTGATAATCTGATGTACGTAAGTATTGGAATTGAAAATGGAAGTAATTTTTCGCAGTATGATTGAGTTGAAGCTAGATCGATTTGCTTTTTTTTTGCAGATACTTTTTGTACGCTTGGGAATTCCACCACCAAATGAATCTACTAGTCGTCATTACTCAACTGGCAAATCCGTTCTCAAACCATTAGCTCGACATTATCCGATCGCAAATTTAATCTTAAAGTGGAGACAAATAAATATCGCTTTAACGGTTTGTTAAGCTATTTTTCTGGGGTACATGATTTGTTTGCGCAGTGTACTTTTGATTATGTTAATGATAGTTTTCCAGACATCACTACCAAAACTTTTGAAATCATGTAGTTCTGTTGGACGCATTCATCCTCAATTTGTGATACACTGTAGCACTGGTCGAGTTTTAACGGCACATCCAAATGTGCAAAATGTTCAAAAAAATGAAATTATTAGTGGTTATTCTATTCGTTCATTGTTCATAGCTCCAAATGGTAAATTAATTTGTTCATTTTCATACACATAAAATTTCAGTACATGAGAAGAGTGAAGAAAAGTTCAGCGATTCATGAATTGTTTATTATTCGTTAAGAATACTAAGCCGTGTCTTTGGATAAGTGTAACCAGGAACATTGATTATTTCAATATAATTTTTTCTTCAATGTTTGATTAGTCATACTCTTTCAATATAATTTATTGTCTCAAAATTGAGGTAGAATATTGATATCTTCTGACTATTGCCAACTTGAACTGCGAATATTAGCACATCTCTCTGCTGATCCCAAGCTCATATCAATATTTTCAATTGCGGGTGATTTTTTTGAAATTATGGCGGAAAGATGGAATGCTGATCAAGCAGTAGACGTAAATAGGGATAAAGTGAAACAGGTAATTTATAAAATAAAGTTACTTCATTAGAAATCATGATATTTTTTATCAGTATTGTTTGTAATTGGAACAAAAAAACTGATACTAAAATTTCAACAAAAATATCTTTGTTTAGCTTTGTTACGGTATAATTTATGGTATGGGTGCTTCCTCTCTGAGCAAAGAGTTAGGTATATCTAGGCAGCAAGCGCAAATAATGATCATCTCGTTTTTTCAACAATTTCCTAGTAAGATTTTATGATTTTTGCATCTGACAGAAGGAAATCAGTCCTTCTTTTTTTTCTTGTGAACAAAATAATTCATTTCTTAATAAATTAGACTGTTTAGATCCAACAAAAGTTTATTGATTAAAAAAGATAACATACCTAAAGCACTTATTCGTATAATTCTTACAATTCCTCTTTACGTGTTGTTTGTTCTTACTGCAGTTTTTAACTGCACAAACGACACGTAAAAGCCGCTTGCAACTCTACTAAATCTCATTCTGAATATTTTTATAAAATTAAAATTTTTTAGAAGTGAGGATATGGATGGATAAAATGTTAGCAGCTTGTCGAAGTGATGGATTTGTTAGTACAATGCTTGGTCGAAGGAGGTTTTTGCCTCATATCACTAGTGTGCTACAGACAGAAAAAGCTCAAGCTGAACGCCAAGTTATTAATACTTGTATACAGGTATTCTTATTTCTTTTTAGTCGTAATAGTTTGTTAGTTTAATGAAGAATTTCAATGGTTTGGATATCATTAAAAAGTAATGGTAAATTGAGCATTGTTGCTCAAAATTTGTAAAATAAACTATTTGATTTTTACGGTCCTCTTTAATTCAGTGTGGTTTTTGATCCAAATATGTTTATAAAAATAACGATTATTTTAATATGTGATTAAATATTCGTTAGTGCATTGCACTGTCAATGAATAGCATTAGTGACACTTTTCTATAGTAAAAAACAACATTATCATAATAATATATAAAAAAACACTTGTCTAACTTGAGGAAATTTTTTAATAGAAATTTAAACTTTTTCAAAAATCACATCATTTCTTCGCTTACAGCTCTTTAAAATTAATGTTTTTGTGTATCCTATGTGCGACTGACATTTTCCAGTTATTTTTGTAAATTATACTAGAATTCAGAAAGTGTTACGTGACATTCTTTAAATATTAATCATAGGTGAATTTTTCACGTATGGCTAATATTTAATTCGACAGCTAATACTTGAATTTTGCAAAATACAGAATCGTATGGTATATGCTAGTTTCAAAATAAAGTTCAGTTACTAATTTGTACAGGGTTCAGCAGCGGAGTTGTTCAAAATTGCCTTGCTGAAGCTACAGAAGAACTTACGTGGTTAGTTTTTTTTTTTTCCGATATAGTGGATCATTCAAGTATTATTGTCAGCTAATGAGATGTATAAGTTTATGATATTTAGTCAAGTTTTTTAACATTGTGGACATCACATATGAGTATCATAATTTTCTTTGGAAAGCGATGGAAGCAGACAGTTAAGCAGAAAATCTACAAATTTTCATATGATTTTTCTACTAATATAAATTCAAATTGTTCTTAAATTATAACACTAACGTGATTAAGGTACAAATTCGTTCATTATCATGCAATTGCACGATGAAATTCTGGTGGAAGCTGATGAAGATTCGTTACCTTCAGTCGCTAATATTGTCGAACATTCGATGACATCAGTTATTACAGGATTTCGAGTTCCATTGGCTGTGAAAATTTCAGCGGGAGGAAATTGGGGAAAGCTTCAAAAATATGCTAGAAATTGAGTGCAGTAATTATTTAACGACAGCTAATAAATGACTGCTTAAATTTTTATCTGAATTGATATCCATCCCATTTTTTTTTATTATAACGTCATAATGGCTCTCCTAATTTTGAATTTCCGAATTTTATAATGGTCTGGAATCTTTTTGAAAAAGTTCTGATCGACTGACATATGTTAAGATTTTCAAAGCAAGTTACAAGATTAACTCATTGTGACTGAAGATCATCATCAGAAAAGGCAGTTCTTCAAGGGAAATATTCCACACATTCATAACTATAATTTTGTAAATAGATCTTCAGAAGCAGACTTCATGTCGTAGCCAAACGACCTTTATAGATAACGTTATATGTACTGGCACTGCAATGAAAAATGACTTAGAATTTTCCAACTTTTAATGATGGTTATAATTGCTTTGTATTTATAGCAATATCTCAGTTCTATCTCAGTATGAGAGAGAACTCAGATTTTTAAGATTATCAAAGTAAAATTGATTCCAAGTAAATGCTGCTGTTCAACGAAAGTATTCTGTTTGCTTAGGTACCGGTAAGGCTCACCGGAGCCACAAAACTATCATCAGTATTATATTATTTACATGCGTATCGCATGAAATATGAGTACTTGTTGTTTGTTGTACTTCAGTACTCTGATTTTGAGTGTATTAACATTATCTATTTAAGAGACGTGCTAGGAATTATGTCATTTTATTGTTTGAACTTTTGCATCGCGCAAAGTGATAAAGACTATCGGTAGAAATGACTTAAGACGAATTTTTTGGAATAAAAAAAATAACTACTACCTATCAAGATAATGTGAATCAGACATTCCTGCACGAAAGACATCTCGGTTGTTAATGATGTCACCATTGTAGAGGGATGTATAGCTAGTACATTGCTATTCAGTTCAGTGAGACAGTAATATTTTCATTTATGGGACGTATTTAATCTGAGCTATGTCTCAACCTAATGCGAAGCATATTATTGCGCAACATTGGTTCATAGTATGTCTTTGAGTGTTTTTTGACGTCATTCTGTAAGGGACTTGTGGTTAGAGATTGGATAGGACTTTGTCACATTAATTCTTTAATCAGCAATTTTGCTAGTTTTATATCAGTCAGACTGAACAGTAAAATTGTCTTGCGTTTACTTCTTGGCGGTTTTGAGTACGCGAGTAATTAATCCGTGGAGCAGTTGACAGTACTGTTTGTGCTACTACTGGTAATATTACTATAATTGTTTCAGAACTAATTTTTTCATTATTTCTTCTTATTCTTATATTATTTATGCTATAAAAGCGCAGCAACTCGTCACTTCGCACTAGAGTTTTCAAATTAAATATGAGCTAAATGGATTAATTTTGGTCTAAATGCACGCACATACGAGGGTTGCTAAAATTAGACATTTAAAAAAAAAAACAATAATTCGTGGAATAATTCACTTTTAGCAGTACTTAATATTAAAATTTTTAGTATATTCTATTGATTCAAATGTGTAATAGAAAATTATGCGCTGAGTTGGAATATGTTGTAGCCACCGGCTATTTTTTTAATTAACTGATTATAAATTAATTAAACTGAAGATTGTCCAGTCGAAGGAGTGTCTCTTAGGTATATATGTCCTCTTTATAAATTTTTTGTATTTGGTACATTTACAGTATTGATGTCTGTTGCAAACCGTTTACGTCGCCTGCGTAAGCAGCCACCAGAAGGTTGGGATTTGATTGAACCAACACTTGATGAATTTGAGGCGAAAATGCGAGAAGCTGAAACAGATCCCCATGAAGGTAAAAGAAAAACAGAAACTCTATGGCCTATATTTAAGGTTTGAATTTGATATTTATGATCATAGGTGCAATGTGGAAATAAAAACGAATGAAAGTGAACAAGATTGTGTACCATTTATGTCCGAAACTGTAACCATATAATTGCATTAGTGTATGAAAATTATGCATGTCTATTGTAGTGTTCATATTTCAGATACATCACCAGAGATCACGTTATATCTATGACTTATACTACAAACGGCAAGTAATAAGCAAGACCTTATATCAGTTCTGTCTAGATACTAAATTAGCTGATGAAAAACTAATAGCGAAGTGGAAAAAACAAGGATATGAGAATTTGTGTTGTCTACGATGTATTCAAACAAAAGACACCAATTTTGGTACCAATTGCATATGTCGCGTACCTAAAAGTAAATTAGATGTGGTAAGCAATTTCCCTAAAACTTTTTACGTAGGTTGCGAAGCTCTTTATTGACTTTTATTCTTGAATTTGAAGAATGAATGACAACATCATAGTTTCTGATCAGTTTTAGGGTCGTGTAGTAGAATGTGTTCATTGTGGATGTCGGGGTTGCTCAGGGTGACTGAATTATTAGCGAATTCAGTCACTGAAAACTGGGTAATCGAAAATGCGTGCTTACAACTTACTCAGCATGCAAGATACTGATATATATATAATTACATATCGAAAAGATGGCGCTGTTAAAAAAAAGAAAAGAGCAAAAGCAGCTTAATCATAATTTCGATATTTTTTGCTTTGCAGTGTTCACATATTAGTTTGGTTTATCCCGTGTAACATTGCGATGTAAATACTATGTATAAATTATAGTCACAGGGTGAAATTGGTTTTTAAAACTGTTTGTGAAAGATTTAAGGCAGTTCAGCAGTTTTTTCCTATGACGGAACATGTGTTTGAATGGGATGAGCGCCGAAAGTGGTCGTTGTGTAATGAATGATGCTTTGCCATGCTCGAGGTAGTCAGCATACGAGAATACGTGTTTCCTCATTAAGTAGACAGGTTTTACTTAAGAATGAAACCGGCAAAATGGATTTTGTGAGTAACTTGTGGAGTAAAATAAAATGAAAAACTTTTTATTAGAATGTTTTAAATGCATTTTATCAGGATATTTTCCGAAGCAAACCTGAAACTACCGTTGAAAAAAAGAACAGTGCAAGTTACAGAATAGACTGTAGGCTTCTTTCGTATCAGGCAACAGGCACTAAAAATTGGCAAATACATTTATCCTGTGAAGGACTTGTCGTCTGTATATTTGTCTTTGATATGTTTCCATAGCTTTCCTTGGTTATACTGAAATACTTACTCTAGAAGGTTGATGTGGGCTGAGCAGTAAGTGGAATCTGCGTAGACTCATGCTTAGGTTCACAGAAATTAAAATTACGTGAAAAAAAACTTTCGAAACTTTCAGACACAATTTAATGATCTGTTTGTTAGCAACACAGATCTTTGTTTTCAGAATAAGTTACAAATTATGATTCATATACACTTGTAAAACAGTAGGATTTGTAGCAGTTACCCTCTCGAATAAATAATCGCCGCCCTTGTCAACAATTAAATCAACCGAAATTGCACCAACAGTTAACGCCAAGAAAAGAGTGGAAAAACGTTTCGTTATGAGTCGATAAGTATAACTAGCTAACTTCATTAGGCTCTGAAATAAAGCAGTTTATTATCAGGCACTTTTGACGGCTGAGACTCAATATAATGGCATGAGTAGCAAACTAGAAGGCATTTTCACAAACTTTTCTGTCATACATATATATATGTTCGTAAAAATTGCTAAAGATCAACTTCAATAATATTTAATTTGCTAAATTTTTGGGATTCATTGCTTTAATTGTAATCCATTCACATATTCGAACCATACAATATTATATACCAGCTACTTTTATATACAAATAAATGGTATGAATAAAATGACTAACAACAGACCAACGATCGGGAACAAAACCATTGAAATTAAACGCTGTTAGAGAATGCATGTTCACTGTCCACGATGAGACAATCAATAATAGAAGCAGAATTTAACGGGCTATGATTTTCTTATCAAATAATGAAACTTTGGGATCACAAATTATGGTTAAAAAAAGCTTTACTATTTGGTTTAATATGTATTTCTATTTTCAAAGAGCTAAATTGTTGAGACATTCTAGTTACGGCATTAGGAATAATATTTGCTTTTACTAAAATAAAATACAAGTTCTGATTGAAAACGAAAATAGATGCTATCAATTAAAGCTTATTGGCATGTTTAGTGTTCTTAAGTTTAGCACTATATTTATATCTAAAATTACCATCAAATAGGTCATTATTTTCATTCGCATCTTGATTTACCTATTTATAAGTTATCTGTCATTTGTGTGTACTTGACTCATACTTGTGTTTGTGTATGCACTTTCTATCCGGTTCTTTATACTTTCAGACGCAGAATAATGGTTAATCCAAAAGGTATTCGACGTGGTACGCGGTATATGTTTGCCAGAAAATTCCGAAAACATGGTATTGAGCCGTTATCTACATACTATAGAATCTATAGACGTGGTGATATTGTTGATATCAAAGGAAATGGAGCGTTTCAAAAGGGAATGCCTTTTAAGGCATATCACGGACGTACTGGCCGTGTTTTCAATGTTACTAAACACGCAGTGGGAGTTTTAGTGAACAAACGTGTTAGGTCATTTTTATTTCTGATATCATTCATTTTCAGGCTGTTGTTATGTATTACATTGCTTGCACGTTGAAATCGCAAACAAAAAGCTTCACACATTCATGTTTTTTCATTGCCAACAAATTTCATGTCTAGAAATAATGACTGCCAGTGACTTTACCTTTATACGTATATGTTGATATCAAAGGAAATGGAGCGTTTCAAAAGGGAATGCCTTTTAAGGCATATCACGGACGTACTGACCGTGTTTTCAGTGTTACTTTTTGTTTGCGATTTCAACGTGCAAGCAGTAATTTAAAAAGTGTGTAATGATTTTTTGGAGACAAGACGCTGATATACGGAACTAGTATACTTGTTCCAAGCAGTAGAATAGTATTGTCAGTGAATTCGAGTATTATTATTTTTTGCAGGAATCGTGTTATTCAAAAGCGTATTAACGTTCGTGTGGAACATGTTAGACCATCAAAGTGTCGCCAAGATTTTTTGAACCGAGTAAAAGAAAATGAGAAAAAAAAGAAGTTAGCTCGTGAAACTGGTGTAATCGTTCCAATCCGGCGAATGGTACTGCCATACATTCTAAAGTTTTAATTTGCATTTAATTATTGCAAAAAGTTTCGAAAAAATCCTTCATGGAAATAATAATGTTGTAGTTATTCATTCATACTCACTGTACGATATGGAAATTACCTGTCCTTTCGTTTCATTACTCACTAGTGTTACTTTCTAAGTCATCTTCTGAAATCGTGTATTAAATAGTACTAAGAGATTGAATTTCAGCCAGCTGAACCCAGAAAAGCTCACTTAGTCAAGACGCGGTACAACAAACCTCAATTACTGTGCCCTGTCAGATTTGAAATTATTGCTTGAAAAATATGTGTTTGTCTGTTGTTTGGTTTATTAGTACAGAAATAAATCTTTTGTTACTTTTTTACATGTAGCGTGATTGCGTATTATTTCGCATATACAGATATTGAGAAGTTGTGCTTGAATATTTATTTGGATTCATTATGTCGGTAATTTCGCATATTATGCACGAATTGCAAAAATCAAACGGTAGGGGTTGTTTTAGTCTCTTGGTTAGCCTCAGAATTCCTTGTGTTGATTGTGCTTTTTGTGGTCTTTGCGTTGTAGTCAGTGATTTTGGGTTTTAGCGAGTAAATGAAAATCGGCAGTATTTATTGATTACAATGCAATTAGAATCTATTTTTGAGGAGAAATATTTCTAATGGGTGATCGCGATGTTGAAAAGTTGGTTCGAAAATATATTGACAAGCGGGATGACAGACTTGTAGATATTGTGGAACGATGCTTACGGAAGGGTTATGACTATGAAAAAATGAAGGATCGTGTTGGTGATCATGTCCGAGAAACAACTGTGCGGAAACGTCTGGTCGATGCACTTTCCGAAGCTTTTCCGCAATTTGCTCGAAGGCGCAAACACCGCGTATGTTGCAAATCTAGATTTGACACCTATTATCTTTTGCGAAGCTGTATTAACTAAATTTCTTGTGCGAATATGTCCATTTTTTGATAATTTTTTCTGAATGTAATTTTCTTCATTATCAACTGGCATCTTACCTAATTATAACCCATTCACTGCAATCCATTTTCTGAACCACAAAGTTGGATTTTGGTTCCGTCAATTAGTTTATTGTTTTCTTCATTCAGTGGTTTGTTTATCAGTAAATGTTTCATACTGATAAAGTTGTGTGTATTTCAGTTCGAAGAAGCCAAAGATTTTAAAGAAAATCGACCAGAAAAGAAGCCTAAATTTGAGGAGCGGTCGCAAAGCATTACCACTCAAGTTGCATCTGTTATTAATGTGCCAGCTTCTTCCAATGTACCTTACATCAAAATGGAACCAGCGAAGTCTGAGGAAATCACGGAAGAAGCTAGTTTTTGCTTTTGTTTGGTCAAAATAAGGAAAAAAAAATGTTCACAGCAACTTTCCTAAAATGTTTATTCTGCAATCTATTCATTCTGTATAGTCTAAATTGTCAGAAAGGCATTCACAAATTTCAGTAAGAAAGCATATTCCGTCATTTGTTCAAATTGATTACTGCTTTGCTAAAGTTATTTGTTCAAAATCAGTTTTTTATGTATTACTGTGACAGATACAGCCTCCCTCTACTTTCACTTTTTGTAGAAAAAACTATCCTCTTTTTTATTTTTCATAAATAATTACGCAGATTTATATTATTCGTAAGTTTTGTTAAACTTTCTACATTATTTTAGGAGCTCAAAAGTAAAGAACTAATGTATCAAGCTCAAATGGCAATTGAAGAACGAAAGCGGCAGTTAAATTTAACTGCAAAACCTGGAATTGTTGCACAGGCTGTTATCTCAAAAGCTTCAAAACTAAATACAAAAGAAGCTAGCATGTTTATGAATTATTCAATGGAAAAAATAAACAGGTTATTATAAATTAAAATCCCTAAGATGGATATAGTACGAGGAATATTAGTGTTTGAAGAGATAGCAATCTCTCTTTACTTTTTTATGATGATTTTATTTATCATGGATGGTTTTTCTTGCTATATGATTTTGAGGTTTGCATGAATTTTCTTTTTAGAGTTAAAGAGTTGAAGGAAAGGCTAGCTCAGCGAACAGCAACAATGTCGCAGATTACAAGTAATGATACCACAAATGGTACGTTTGCAAAAACAAAGAAACCTGAAAGTGATGCAGAGCCAAAAGTTATTGAATATGTGGATCCTCGCATTAGGTTACTAGTTCCTGTTGTTCAACTTTTGTAAATGAAGGGTATATTTTCTGCTGCAAAATTTTTTTTATTGTAATGGTCTTCATATTGTAATTTGTGGATGATTTTTGAAAGGCGCACTTTCGCTTTTGAACATTTAGTTTTAGTTTGAAATCAGCTCAACGAAAGCAGCGTGCTATTGTTTTTCGAGAAAAAGGCGAATTTGAGAAATTAGCTCAACGTGAGCGAGCTAAAGCCCGCTTGTCAATCTTGCAAGCTGAAATAACTCAAATTGCTAAAAAGACTGGAATGTCTTCGTCAGTCAAATTAGCTATGCTCACTCCATCATCCTCAACGGTTGAGATATTATTAAAACAGATGAAGGAATTCATTTCTTAGTTTGTTTTGTTGGATAAACATATGCATTAGAAAAAAGAGACAGCTTACTGTCTTATCAGAGCGGTTTTATCAATAATTTTTTTCAGTTCTTGTTAGTGTAGTTTTTGAATTCAGATTTGCATTTTAGGTGAGTGATGTTCCGGTAGTAGAATGGTGGGATGAAGTGGTGTTAGGTGGTGGTTATGAAATGATTCCAAATGAAAATCTGGATTCAGATAGCAAGTATGTGAAGACGGTGACGAATTTGGTGGAACACCCAATACAGTTAAAACCCCCAGATGAGCCTCTTCAACCACAGTACCTTAAGGTTAGTGTCACACCTTTAACAAGTTTTTTAAGTTGCTGTTTTTATTTCGGATTCTTTGTTTCTTATTTAGGTCTATTTAACAAGTCGAGAGCGAAAAAAGATTCGACGACAAAACAGAAAAGAGGCACAAAAAGAACAGACTGAGAAGATAAGGTTTATTCAAAATTTTTTTGATTAAAACTTTTTCATTATGTATTTTTGTTTCAGAATTTAAAATAAAATAGTTGTCACAATTTTATTTACATTTCAAAGATGATTGTTCAGACTGGGATTAATCAAAGCTCCAGAACCAAAGGTTAAATTGTCAAATCTGATGCGGGTATTGGGGTCAGATGCCGTTCAGGATCCGACTAAAGTCGAAGCTCATGTGCGGAAGCAAGTGGCTGAAAGGCAGCGTAAACATGAAACTGCAAATCAACAAAGAAAGCTCACGAAAGAGCAACGATCGGAGAAGAAAATTCGGAAAATTAAAGAAGACACATCATTGGCCGTACATGTAGCTTTGTATAAGTCTGTTTAGTATTTATTTTTAAAAATTTTTCTAAACCTGTAGTTATAAAAAAGTAATTGAATGTACTAGCGTGCAAAAATTATGCTTAATTTTTGGACTTTTCTCTTGTAGAGTAAAATCGCTTGTTCATCCAGCTAAGAAGTTTAAAGTCGAGATGAATGCCAAGCAACTTCATATGACTGGTTTGATTCTTCTCCACAATAACATCAATCTTGTTATTGTTGAAGGCGGTACGTTGATATTTGTTTCGATGAAATACAAGTGAAATTTTTAAAGTTTGGCAGATTTCTATTTTTCTAACTTCAGGTCCGAAGCAACAAAAAGCATTCAAAAATTTAATGTTGAATCGAATTAAATGGAGTGATGAAATAATTGGTCAGAAAAAGGAAGCTGAAAATAAAGATACTCCGGGTGAAAGAAATGATTGCACCTTGGTTAGCAGAGATATTATTAAAACAGATGAAGGAAATTTAGATTTTGAATCTGATCTAGACTAAAAGAAGTATCAAAAATTATCAGAAAAAAACTGATTGTGAAGCTGCAATGCTTTTTACCTCATTTATTACCGATTTTTATTTCAGAGGATATAGTTAATATCTTCAAAACAATTACGAACACATCGATTTAGGTGCGCTGCTCATTGATGATGCAAAGAGATGAATTAAGATAATCAGTAATTTGTCTCTTTAAATTTCGATTTTTAGATCTGGGAGGGTATCGATAAGCAACGAAATTTCGGTGAAGTGAAGTGTATGTTGGCTACATTAGAAAAGCAAGCAAGAGAAATTTTGGAGAAACATGGAGTTGCTCATTTCTGGGATCTCGCTTATAGTACTTCACTTCTGGCTGATGAAGCTGTCATCTAGGTCAATATTTCTGTGATTGTATATTTCTCATTTTTCATAATTTACTGAAATATAAAACAAATTAACAGAGTTAATTCTGTAGTCGTTAGTCTGAAGACTGTCAAAAAAATTCATGTTAGAATTCCTCATTGTTTTGCTTCCAGAAAACTTTGGTATCGATTAGTTACATATTCATTTAAGTTCTCAATTTTACCGATGTTCATGATTAAAATAAATGTTGCCAGTCGTTATATTCTGTTGGTTATTCATATTGATATGATTTACAAATTGATGATACATACATTTCTCTTAGTATTTTTAAGTTGTTTTGAATATTTCAGTATTTATTGAATAGGTACTTTTGATATATCCATTAACTTTCGCTCTAGAAATATTGTTTCTATTACTAAAGTGTGTTGTTTACTGGACTACATAGATGTAGAATTCGGAAGCAGTTATAGTTTCATCTACCCTTCACTATTCTGTCCCAGTTTTTAGATAAACTGTGGACTGTAACACTTTACGTCATGCATCCTATGCCAATGTCTTTGCTTCATACGTGAAGATAAATTTCACGATTTTGGAATCAGTATTGTTATTATTTGTCAACTATTCAATAGACCAAATGTCACTGTGTATTTTAAGTAATTTGTTATCTTTTCAAACAATTCTGCGTTAAAAATTCTGAAAGAACATACTCGCAAAAGGCGTTAGTTTATCATTATCCTAAAAAACGTTAGATGTGATTTGGGATTTGATTAATTGTAATCTTGATGGTCACTGTTAACAGTAAAAATGCGTAAAATTGCTGTTAGCAAGCATATCCACATGTAAAAAAGGTGAAAATTTTGAAAAATTAAAAAAAAAGGGTTTTGAGAAAAAGAATTAGGGCTGAGTTGTTGTGGTGGAATTCAGTATTGTAGATGACGATAAAGGTTTCCTATGTCTTCTTGTTGGTCATACAGTGATAGGTTAGGAAGGGTATGAAGTTGAATAGTAAAATTTGTAGTAAGCATGGTCCAGAGTAAGTTGGTTCGGACATTGATATTTAAATTGCAAGGTTCAAATTACAGATATGGGTGAATGGATCGACAGATGCAATTAAGTCAAAAAATGAAACAAATGAGCGGTGATGTGGAGAAGTTATGGCAAGTTTTCCGAGCGAAGGAAGCTGTATTGGAGGATGTACTTTGTTCTTTGAATCTATTACCGAGACATCCCAAAAGTGCTGCATTGATTGAAGTAAAGTTGATCACTGATAAGAATTCCGACCAAATAGCTCTAGTGTAGCGAGAATTACTTTTTGTTTGTTCAAATATGTTTTGATATGTAAATAATAACTGAAGTTCACAGAATATAAATTAAGAGATGGAATATATTCTTGCTCTTTTTGTGCATTCTTTATATTTGTCTTGCAGAATGTTCTACATTCACGCCTTAAACCGCTTGTAAGTAAGACTGTATTTGACGGATTTTATTGTCATATTGCCTGGTGTGCTGTGTTCGAGGATGATGTTTGTATTGCGGTGGAAGTGGAAAACGATACTCAAGAAATAATGTCAGTATGAAACTTGTTAAATCACAATGTTGGACTTATCTAGAGCAGGAATTTTCGTACAGTAATTTATAATTTTTGTAACTTAGTTCTGGCTAGTCAGTAATAATTTTAAGCACTCATTTTACTGGGTGCTATTTCCAAGTCATTTATTGTTTATTATTCAGAATTTTAGATAAATTTAATCATAGGTTTTCAGTTTTTTTTCTGTAACGTTTGCGAATATTAAAGCTTTCCGATCTAAAACCTTCATTAATAAATTTCATGCTGTCAGTTCATTTCTGAAGAAGATTATTTGGTTTTTGCGAATTTTTAAAGTATTACTTTGTCTCTGAGTCTGAGGTTTAATTAACTTTAGATTGCCTTCGTGTGTTGTCATCTCCAAAGATGAAATGACGGATACGACGACTATCATTTTCGATAACTTCCTGACAGCGCAATATATTCTGTAAATACATTTAATTAATTAAACTTTGAAGGTTGATCAGACCTTAACAGAAATGTGTGAGTTCCTAAGTTTTAGATTTGCGTGCTTTTGGAAATGGCATTCACAACAAATCTGAACTCTTATTCGGTAGCTTTTTTAAAAACTGAAATTTGTGCTTTTTTTGTAGCACCATTTTTCTTTCAATGACTTAACTAGTCCTTTTTGTCAAGAATAAGAAATAAAGCTGTTTCAGAATGAATACATTATCTTAATGAAGCCTCAGAATCTAATTTTCAAGGAATGATAGAAGTTGATAAGTTTCAGACAAAAATGTAAGCGAACATTGTTGGTTAGTTTTCAAAAAGGACTTTTACTCAACGAACAATTAGCATTGGTATTAGATTGTGATATTGTGAACGAACTTAATCTATGTCCAGATTTAGCGTTTCTGTCTTTTTTTCAATTTGACAATATCGAGAAGCAGACAAGATTTATAAGAGTTCTCACGATTGATAAACCCATTAAAAAGTTTGACTTGTCCAAATTGGATGATCTACCTTTGAAAGGTTATTTCTTGTGTCATTTGTCATGATTAGAATTTTAGTGTCCATCTAAATGTTATTACTAGAGTCACTTACAAATTTCTGTCTGCATTTAGTCATTTTATTGTTCCAGAGGGAGTGAAGTTATATCAATGTCTTTGTACTTCCAAATTTTCAAAATTTCTCGATATCGCACCATCCCATTTGCGCATTCTTCTTCACAGTATTGGAAAATTTAATGAAGTGGATTTTGGAAACTGGCAACTTTTCATTGGCGAAAAAGATACTATATGGAGTGACTATGTGCTTTATGCAAATTCATTATTTATTGAAGGTTCACCGGTTCAATGTCGAGTATTTGCAAAGTCAATTTTTTTTCTCTTCATTAGCCTACAGCTCTGCTTGCAAGGTTTCACTCTAAAAGTATTGCAAATCCAAAAGCACATAATTTGCTTAGACAATATAAGAGACCAAATAACTTTTTAGATCGCTACTTGGTATTTGATTACGAGCATTTCTGAGAATGCTGTAAGCTATTCTTTTTAAAGCTTAAGCTTTACTGTATTCTCAGTACAAATACTGCATTCTCTATTTCTTCCCCTTAGGTTATAATGTGTTCTAATATACAAGTTTTTCACATATATTTCGTTTCACTCACATAGCTTTCAGAAATGAATGCAATATAACTCGTTTTACGCGAATTTTGCTTAGATCCACAGAAATTGCGGAACGCATGGAATGTTCTTGAATTATCAAAAGATTGGATTAACATTGTGCTGTAGATTTATTAACTATTTTATCTGTATATTGACCGTTTGAAATATTGCGCATCATTATCTATATAACAGCTACCATAACTGTATTCCAAAAATTTTTCGATAAATCTGTCCCATGTAAAATCACGCAATCATAATAGCACATTTGGACGGGGATTCGTATTCTTTGAACTAGAATTATGTTATACAAGTTATGTGTACGTGCGTGTACGCCTCTTTGCAGAGCTCTCTGTTCAATTACATGTAAAAAGCATATACAGTTAGAATTATTTTGAAGGAGCTTTATTCATAAACAATAATTACAAAAACAAAATTCATTACAGAAAAATATTACAATGTTTCAATTCACAAATAACTGAAACTAAAACGACAAGAATCACAAATTCGTTAATGAAATTAGACCAAAAATTCAATGTAGAGATAAAAAACACATACAGTTAATTTAGGAAATAAGTAATCTATAGTTATATCTCGTCATTTGTTTGAAAACATTTTCAGTTGACAAGTATTTATCAGTTAGCGTGCCTACCGGCAGACTAAATATCCTTAGCATATATTTCTTCATTAGTCATAATTTCCTTGTTTCCAACTGCGACTTCAAGAACTAATTATCTTTAGCTATATATGTAAAACAGTGAAATAAATTTTTTAAATCGTATAGAAATAAACTGAAACTGTTTTAGGATGATGCATAATACTCAGGTCTCATTATATATGTAGCGAAAAAAAGATGTACAGTAAAGCACGATTTTTAGCCACTACGAAAAAATGACTTTAATGTGAAAACATTTTGAATTTTATTATCAGGTATCATGGGCGAACAGCCGTTCTGATAACAAATCAGATGTACGTGAAAAGATATGTGATAATAACAATTATTTATCGTGCTGAAGAACAATACCTTGTGCAGCGACAACAAAACGGGGATAGAGAATACCCTTCACTTGGATTTAACTTACTCGAAGCAAAGATTTGATCATTGTGACAGTATATACTCAGTGATGATCTCCATGCAAGCATGACTCCTTTTCCAGCGGAGGGTAATCTGCAGCCTTTTTACATCGAGATAAAATCAGCAGATCAATCATACAGTTTTGTCTTTTCTAAACAAATTATAGCATGTAAGTGATGCGTTGCGTGTGTGTGTGTGTATGTGTGTGTGTATGTGTGTGTGTGTGTGTGTTTGGGTGCGTGGGTATGCGAGTGCTGTTGTAAAGTTCATTGTTCAATTATATGTAACAAACAAACAAGCTTAAATTACTTCAGAATAGCTTTATTCTTTAACAGTAATTACGAGAATAAAGCACATTACATAGTTGTGCAATGCAATTTTTAATTAACAAAGATTGAGACTAAAATGACAAAGACAGAGCTTCTTATTGGAATCAAAAGAAAAAAAATTTATAATAAAAATTTGCAAGTTATCTTACATTTAATGAGTTAATGAATTTCAAGTGAAACTGCTTGAAGAGCTTCAAGTTTTCAGGCATCAGCAAATTTGAATGTAACGGGCCTACCTTACCAGAGGGGCGCAGTTTGCACATGTGTTTAGGCTGACTATTCAGCCTAAATACATAATTAGTTTGCATAAACATAATAAGTATGACACACATCATTTTTAATATACAGACAGCATGAATACACATCAGCAACATTCCCTTTGTTTTCTCAGAAGTCATCAGACATATTCTTCGCCTCGCATCTTCATGGCATCATGCAAGAGAAGCAGACAGTCGTGGAGAAGGACCCATCAATTGCAATTTTTTACTAATAATAATCTCAAAATTTGCTTTCTTCACCACGAATATTTTCAAATTTATTTTTATGGCATTTGCAACAAATTTATTTCAAATCCCACAAAATTTCTACTTACTGCAATACCGAATTTGCTGGTTAAGTAGAAACGGAGCAATCAGCTCGCACAGATTGAATTTGCCCTTTTCTATGCTAAGAAAAAGCTATTAGCACGTTTTATTATTCTGCTAAGAAGCTGACAAATTCAAAACCTGACGAATTCAAGAATGGTACTAGACTTTTCTGGATGTAACTGTAATAGTAGACTTGATTCCGGTTTGGAATTAGTTCAGTCGTTTCTTTTTTGATAGAAAACTTTTCCT